TTCTTAGTAGCTTAGATTCACTTGATTAATTAAGAGTTTTTAACTAAAATGTTTTTGATGTGGAGTTGAATTATTTTGTTAATAAATTCTTAAATGTTGAATGGATGTTGTTTTCAGTTTATTCCGTCTGTTTGCAAAGTTATCTGTTTGAGCTTGATTCACGCTAAGAAACACAGACAGTGAGGCGTGTGTTCACAGAACAACATATGACAGTCCGAAAATGATTTGATCAAATAACATAGCCTATTTGCTAATATTCACCAAAACAGTTACACAACATTGATGTGTTTAAATGATAGCGCACCCAACTTACTTTATTTTCATTGTCTTCAAAATCGCATTCCTGTGACACCAGACTCCAGAGGGCATTGCTACACTTGATGATCCTGTCGACGATCCCAGGGTTTCCCAAAGCAAAAGTGCGTGATAACTTTGTTGTGCCATCTAACAAATATTTAATATATTCGTCCTATGAGAAAAAAACCCCAACAATGATTGACACATTGTAAAACAGTGTAAAAAAATTAGGCTTTCATAAAGTAGGTCAACAAAGGCTCCCACCATGCTTGCTTTAGGCTCTCCGACAGTTGTTTCCATGTGTCGCAGCATTTCCTCTGCATGCTACCTCAGAAACACAGCATATATTTCAATGTGAAATTCAGGAAATATTTGCACTTTTATCTCAAGCTCATTTCTTGTCTTTGGATCTTTGCCTCACCGTTAGTAGAACAGTAATGTTGTTAACGTTTAGTCCCATATTATGTACTAAATCTCTTTTGCTCCCTGAAATAATAAATAATAATTATTATTATTATTTCAGCCAGGTTTGGAATCAACACACTGTCATAATTCTATGGAGGACCAATTCTGCCATAATTAAAAATAAATACAGACATAAATAAATGCTCCAAAAATAAATAAGCATACAACTAATTCCCCCCAAAAACATAATAAACAAATAAATAAATGTATATAGAAGTTAAATTATACAGCGAGACATAAATGTATATATCTCTTTTAATTAGCTTCTTTAATTTTTTGCCTTTTGTAATAATTACCTTATTTATTTACCTTATTCATTGTGTTTTATAATCTTCAACTTTATTTATTGGAAGAATATATATTTTTTTAAATAAAAAAAGTTGAAGATCATAAAGGACAATAAATAAATAAGGTAATTATTACAAAGGCAAAAAAAACAAAGAAGCGTCATCACTGTATAATTTAATTTTTATATATATTTATTTGTTTATTGTATTTTTGAGGGGCAATTAATTGTATGCTTATTTATTTTTGGAGCATTTACTTATTTCTGTATTTATTTTTAATTATGGCAGGATTATCCTCAATATACTTCAGCCTATCAAGGTTTACATCAAAAGTAGCAAAATAAGCAAACTTACGATGTCCAACTGTATCCATGGGTTTTCTTATATTCTGAAAGAAAATGTGAACGAAACAAAAACATCAATGTTGGTCTCTGCAGTGTTTTATCATTTATTATGAGATATATCTCTTACCTCCAAACTTGATGGAGAGACTAAAGCTTTAGAGTCAAAAGGAGATATTAGCATTTTGAATACAGTGTAAAAGAAATTCATTGGTGATAAACAATATTTCAAGGCAGCTGAGAGAAAGTGCAGAAATGAAGTTTTAGTTATCTGGAAGCCTCCACTTACTATGACTGCATAGAAATCTTCGTCTTCTTTTGCAGTCAGAGGTTCGGAGCTGAAGTGGATTGAGCTTCAGGTATGTGCACGGTTCCTTTAAAGCTTTACCTTTGCCTGACTTAAGACCTGACAGAAGAAATTATAGTCAGAAATTCAAACTTTTGGGATTATACCTTCAACTATTTGCTTTTAACAAAAATATTGTTTCAATGATTGTAAATTTTTTTTATATAAGTGATAATATTGATATAGAAAATATAACATTCAGTTCCAAAAGGAGTACCAAAAAGGAAACGCTTGTTAAACTCATTACTAACTCCCCTTTAAATGAGTGTAGGATTTAATTCTATATGTAGTACTACGATTTTCCACCAGAGAGCAGAATACAAGTAGGCTATAAGACTGGGTGCAGTACCTTACCAGCTTTGAGGTCAAGGGATTAAGTGTAAAAACATAAATAGATAAAGAAATACATTTTAGCTTAAAATACTATTTGATTTAGGTTTCTTAAAATAGTTTCATTTAAACCTACATCTTTAAACATATGCTCTGGAGTGGATTTTAGTTATGTGGCGACCAAAGGATTAGGGCAATCATAGGAAGACTTTTAAACCTCAACACATCATCAAACTAAAAGATAAACTTTCAAAACTCTATTTAGCAGTTATAATAAGGGTTTATCTCAATTTAGAGTTTAAATGCACATATATACATTTTGGCATGCCATAAAAAAAGAATAAACAGAGATAAATTAAGATATTTAAAAAAAATGCACCTGTTATGCTTTAAATAAACTTTACTTAGTTTTAAATATAATTTACCAACAAAGTGGAGGCTGTGAGCCAGCTTTCTACCTGTCTGGTTTACATTATTATTATATAATACCGCATTGCTGTCCGTTCAAACCTACGTCTTTTTTTGTAAACAGCTTTAAAGCTATGCACATTATTGTTGTATGACAGGTTTATTGACCTTTTTCTTAAACTTTGGAGAAACATATTTAGGAAGATAAATTCACTTCATTTAGTTGAATATATTGTACTGATTGTGAGTCTGATCCGTGTTTGTGCTTGCTAACTATTATGTAATATGAGAGATTATGACTCCTGATTGAAAATCCAGATTTACAAACAGCTGCTAAATATGTTCAATTTGGGTGCTGGGTACTACGACCTGGCACACAGTCAAACCAAAACGAAACTGCCAGTTAACAGAATTTTAAATTGGTAAAATGCCAAACATCCTTCATGTAAAATGAAATGTAACACTGAAAAAAAGTGATAAATAAATGTACACTTAAATTATTATAACATCAAAGTACGGAATACATGTTAGTCCCCTTTTAATCTCTTTAAATTGTCTTGTCAGAAACATTTACGAGCTCAAAATTTAACAGTATCTAAACTTTTAAGTCAGTTTCCATGAATGATACTAAAAAAATACAATGAAACAACAAATGGATACATAACTGCAATGTCTCTGAAAGGGTATATTACTAATTTATACAATATATCTTTAGAGGTATTTACAGCGCCAAATGCAATATATTTGTATATTTTATGTATTTATAAACACCTGAATCCAAACACCTGTGGGAGTAGGTCCCTGTGTAAATAAGGATTCCCCATAAGAATGCCCAATAGGAGGTGTGAGGACCCACAGACCAGCCCTGGCAGGACCAGTAGCAGGCCCAAAGGTACAAAAACTGTTAAGCATTCGTTGTTTTTCAGTTTAAAAAAAGCCATTCCACCAAACATACTTTTGTCATCTACCTTATTTCTGTAATATTTTTGTAGCCTAGAAAAGATGAATGATGAAAACTAGTAAATTTATGCAACATAAAATACACATAAAACATAACAACAACATAAATCCACTGCATAAAAATACCTTGGAATTCAGGCTTGTTAAACCTATTTGGACAACCTTAAATATTTTTAACGATATTTATATAAGTATGCAATTATTACCTGGACATCTTTAATTTTTATTTCTCATTTAAGTATTATTTCAATAAAATAAAATATCTTTATAAAGCAGTTACTTGCTCACTGGGATTTTGTTTCAGTTTCATTAGAATGTAAAAAAAAAAAAAAAAGTGTCTTGTTATTTTTCTCAGTTTATTAAGGAGAGTGCTTGGTTTTCACTCATAAATTGTGATGTAAAGACCTTTGGTAGGAAAAAGTATTCAAAATATTTAAATCAATTGTCTTAGACAGAAAATTCAAATGAGACTCTTACATGCACTTTCCAAAAGCAAAGGCAGCCACCTCCTTTATTGTTTCCATGATCTCATAGCAATCCTATGAACAGTCAACCTTAAGGTTTTTCATGTTTTGTGGAGATCTTTGGCTATGCTCTTTGTAATTTTAACAAACTACCAATCTGACTTCACCATTATTACATTAATTACATTAATACATTACATTAATACTTACGCAGTCGATTTTGTGGAGTTTGAAGACCAGATTATTAATAAATTATACTGAATTTGACCATTGGTGTAGGTGTGAAAACATATTTGAAAGCCCATTTTCACAACACTATATGTAAAGGCTAGAATATCTATTTTTCATTTTAAAGATGGAATAAAGTACAATGAAGCGAAACTAATTTTACTCACTTGTGGTGGGATCCCTGTGAGGAGTTTGGACCCCATTTTCCACCCACCATGTAAAAGTGCTGGTGTTTTTCTCTCTGGTAATGTTACTCAGGAACGTTTTGATTGAACTATTCCGCACATTTAGAAGCTTCCCTCCTCTCTCCTCACAGCTGCTCCTTGCTTGGTACCAGGTTTCTGTCTCTTCCACAAACTCCAAGCAGACATTTCTCCAAAAAAACTCACATGTCACCGCCAGTTTTTCCCCTAAGCAGGTCTCACACTTTTCAGTTAAAGACAGGCATCCTGCTGAAATCCACAACAAGATAAACACCTGGGATAACATTTCTGATGTTATGCTGCTGGTACTGTGGCTGGACCGTCTACTGAGCCAAGTGCCTTCAGTTTTTCATTTGAAAAAAATAGAACCTCCTCCAGGGAACAGAAAAAAACAACTCTGCATATGTTCTTAATACTTTAAGAAAATCAGTGCAGTCACTCAAACAAGATGCAAAGTGAAGGAGTCCCTTGATGTGACTCAAGGTGACTCATTTTTCCTTTAAGCAACCCTATATCAACACTATCTTTTAATATATTTATTTATTTATTTTTTTGAGAACATATCACTGAGTCCGATAAAAGTCACTAGAAATAACAAATTTTATATTCAATTCTACAAATATGTAGCACCTTCTTGAGGATAACCTCAGCAGGTCAAGCTTAGGGAAGTATCGCGAGAAGATGTGGATGACGCGAGAGTGTTTTTGTAACGTTTAGGAAATAGAACCGCGCGGTGCCCTTTGCAGCTGTGAAACAGTTGCGTCCATGGCGGGACGATTAAAGGTAAATTTACACAGTGTAGCAAAATATGTGCGAGTGTGTTGTTTGTTTTTTTTGTGATTGAAATAGTTGTTTCTGAATTACACACGTGTTTCCGTTCGTCGTTCTCTGTCTTTGCACCAAAGCAGCAATAAAGCAGTGAATGCAGCCCCATCGCTCAGTTTTGGCTTTAAAAAAAGAGTTCAATATGTTTATCTAGCAGCTTTTATTTAGCTCCTATTAGTTAAAGCATGAAGGTCTAGAGTTAAAGACTTAAAAATTATCCGAGCTATTATTCAAAGAAAAAAAAAAAGAACTTACATTAGAGGAAACTACAATATTGCTTCCTTTATAAGTCATCTGTATGATAATCATTACTTGATCTGAGAGACTGATCTCATCTTCAAAGTTCCATTAATTAAATAATTAATTTCTCATTGGACACTTAAAAAAACATAAAAAGGTTAAAGACAGTTTTGCCCTTAAAATCTGCCTTTTGGTTGTGCTGTTTAATGTGGTGTAGATGTTATTGATATAAGATGTATAGCTTTGACTAGTCTGGGTTGCACATTAATCTACTTTCAAAGTGGTCTTGATCAATAATCCCCCAGGCTTTTCGCTGGACTTTGCTTGTTTTTTTGTTTTGTTTAAAAAATAAACAAGATATAGACATGAGGTAAATCAATCAGGCAGGGTGTTTTCCCTTGCTCAGCATTTAAACCATCTTTATCAAACTTAAACTTATTTCAAGTCAATGTACTGTATAATAAGCTAGAAATGCCCTCATTTTCCATGGGATTTAAAATCACTACCTTTATCAATGTGCCTGCAGCATTTTTCTCTTATGTGTTTTAGTCCATTGAAATAAAAGGCATCTAAATTAACAGATCAAGTCCTAAAGAAACCAGACATTGGTATCAGCAACACAATATCTGCCCTTTTCTGAGTTTATTTCAATGTTGTAGTGTTTGTTAAAGGCTTTAACTGAGCCAGTTTTGGTTTTAACAGGAAACTAAGGAATAAATCCCTTCTAAATGCATATTGTTAGAGATGTAACAGTGTTACAAAGTCATAGTTCAATACGTTTTTGGTGCGCTTTGATCTGATCTATTTTTTTATTACTTAAAGATTGCTTTGTAATGAACTGACTGAAAATTTGGAGTGATGAGTTTTAAAGAATTAAGGATAATCAAATGTAGTCAACATTTATCAGACTAAAGCATCCACAGTCTAACCAGGTAGTCAGCAGCACAGGAGCACCACAGGGGATGGTACTCTCGCAATTTCTTTTTCCTCCGAGTTCTAGTTAAATACAGATGAAATACTTGGATGACGCTGTGATCATTGGGAGCATCTGAGTTGGACAAGAAGCTGAGAAGGGGGAGCTTGTGGACCACAATGGGGCATGGTTTGGAAACATTAATCTGATCCTGAATGCAAACAAAAAAATGGAGATGATTGTAGAAACAGGAAGAGCTATTAACATCAAAGAAGAAGGATTCAAAGTTGTGGAGGACCTTGGTGTTCACATTAGGGCTGCAACTAACAATTATTTTGCAAATCGGTTTTTCCGATTAATCGATCACTAAACAAATAGCAAAATTATGTTTTATGAAATTGAACCAGGTGAAACTAAAGCTTTTCCACTTGAGGAGTTATGGATAGAGCATATTGACAGACGGAAATGTTTCTTTATCGAAAATGCTAAATGTTTACACTTTTTTTTTTTTACAAGTTTGGTAGAACTGCTGCTCAAAGTCGGTTGCTATGTCAGTGTCTGGTTAAGGATTAATCGATTACTAAATTAGTTGATGATTATTTCAATAACCGATAAACCTGATTAATAGTTTCAGCCCTAGTTGACATGGACATCAAACTCAACTGGAGACAGAAATA